CATAAATTTCAGCTTTGTCCGATGTATATATTTCAGAGTTTTTCAATATATAACTTCCTTTTTTATTTTTGTTTCAAAAATATAGATGTCTATACGAATTCCATTTATTATGGTTATTAGAATTTTTTATTTAAAAAGTAAATTATTTATTCTGTTGGTTCAAGAAAAAAAGTCTATCAAAATAAAAATATCGAAGAAAAATATACGCTTTACAACGGTAACACCAAAGTTTCCAACCCTTCTGCATAAATAATTATTTTTAGCTATATTAATTTATTTTATTAAAAATATATGAATTTATGTTACATATTTCATCAAGATATGTTTTCATTTTCCGCCAAATTTATATCCAGCATATTTTATTCCATCCAAAAATAGATTATTTTTCAGCCTACTTTGTTTTTGCTTTACTTTGAACCCCTCCACTCACAGAATTTCAGTTTTTTGCGTGCCAAATATTTACCTTCGTTTTAACCAAGTTGCCTAAAAGGGTTGGACGTCCTACAGCCATAATTTTCCTCAGTACTAAATGAAAATGCCGATTTTCAATTAATTTAGAACAACAAATAATTAATTATTAATACATTTTTGATAACGATTAATTTTGCAGTGGGGTTTGCTTTGGAAATTAAATTTTATAATACACTGGGAAACAAAAAAAAACCGCAATAAACATAATTACAGGAAGTGTCGTTGTTGAATCTTTGTGAGCAATTCTCGTTTTTTTTTCTACAACCTAACCTAACCAAATTATTTTATTTTTTTATATTATTAGAGAGATATCGGAAAACCGAATAGCGTCATGCAGTATTTACGCGTACCTTATCATGGTTACGATATGCGCGAGTCAATTTTTAACGCAACACCCGCTAATAACGTTACGGCCTGACGTAATTTGCGGAATTTGTTGCTTGTTGCCCTAGACCCACTGGCAGACGTTGAACAGTAAAAAGCACTGGAAATAAGCACTTTAGCCCTTTAGTTTTAAAATACCGTAGACAAAACAATTTCAAAGTTAGGTTAAGTTTAAATAGCGGACAGCGGACGCGACGCGAAAAGAATCCTTTCCGATCCGATAACTATAAATAAAGAGAGTTAATACGTTAATACCACCTCACGTAAAGGAAATAACACCTGGCCTTATTAACGTCCATGCACGCTATTCGGTTTAGCGATATCTCTCTATTACGCTGTTTATTGTTATTTTACGCGAGTTTATTTTTGCGCACAGGAAATTTTACTCGTTTGCACATCGTCATAAAAAACAATTTTCGTACCACGGATTAGGGACAAGATTTTTATCTGTATACTTATAGAATACCTAATCTGTGTTAATAGTAAGATTAAATACTATTTAAATAAAATTGTACGTAATCCCGATAGTAATATAATTTGTTAGCGAATCTCTGTTGTTGGTTTTGGCAGACATAACAACACAACAACAACAACAACAAGGGTATTGCAGTAACGACGTTATATATAACAATTGGAAAAGGGTCTTTCTCTGCGGCTTGAATTATTGCCGTGGCAAATATTGATTCGGGCATTTACCGGCAGCAATATTACCCAGTTCGATCCGCATTAATAACAGATATTTGGCATGGATACATTGCAGATGCCTGGAACGATGTACAACTAAGGAATGTTGCCGATGGTGCCTATGGTTGTTTAGCGTTTAGATCCGATTTTTGTTTTGGCTGTCCCAGTCCTATAGATCATATACAGGGTGTCCCAGGCTGAGCGTGCATTAGAAGTTTCTAGAGAACTACAATATCTAGATTGGAGATTTTTTGCACGTCATTGTTTCACAACGAGATCTATCGATTAAAAATATTGTCAATATGGCGGCACTTCCGGAAATACCGGATGTTGACAGCAACTTTCTTATTTTAAATGGGTGCCCCCATTTTTTATTACATACTTAAATTCTCTGTAAAATTCTATGAATATTGATGTTAAATACTCTATATCTAACATTAACCGTTTTTGAAAAAAAAAATATTTAAAATTTTTGGACGAAAAAAACTATCTGTCAAAAAAATCTGTATAGCCAAAGGTATAGCCTATAAAAAATCGGTAAAAAAACTTTTAAGTTAAACGGTTTTATATTATGTGCACTGAAAACTAGAAAATAATAATAACAATTAGGTATTTTGAACTTCTAGTTCAGAAATATTTTAGTACTAGACAGAATAGCTGTTAGGCATATTAGACTAAAATAAAAACGTGGGGCCCATTAACTATTGCTGTAATACTTTCTTCTATACTAAGTGTGGATTGCATCGACTTACTATAATCGTAACTGGAGATTTTGACAATCAATAACCAGTCGTGACGGCTTCACCAGCGAACGCCGAGCTCATGATCTACCAAAGTATAAAGATATGCTTTGCCATAGGTAGGATTTCAGAGGGGCCCCACGTTTTTATTTTAGTCTAATATGCCTAAAAGCTATTCTGCCTAGTACTAAAATATTTCTGAACTAGAAGTTCAAAATACCTAATTGTTATTATTATTTTCTAGTTTTCAGTGCACATAAGATAAAACCGTTTAACTTAAAAAAGTTTTTTTACCGATTTTTTATTTTCTAGTTTTTAGTATTTAACGGAAAATGCCTACCGAATATTCCTCATTCTATTTAATTCATTTAGTGCATCATTATTACATGGTTTTTTACCTGATAATTTATTACAATCTGACGCTCAGGTGTTTCTGACGCTAACAACTCTCTCTGTCGCGCTCTGATGCTAGCCTAGACTCATGACACTCAGGTGTTTCTGACGCTAACAACTCTCTTTGTCTCTCTCGTTGTGATGCCAGCCTAGACTCATGACGCTCATGTGTTTCTGCCGCTAACAACTCTCTCTGTCTGTCACGTTGTGATGCTAGCCTGGACTCATGACGCTCAGGTGTTTCTGACGCTAACAACTCTCTCTGTCGCGCTCTGATGCTAGCCTAGACTCATGACACTCAGGTGTTTCTGACGCTAACAACTCTCTTTGTCTCTCTCGTTGTGATGCCAGCCTAGACTCATGACGCTCATGTGTTTCTGCCGCTAACAACTCTCTCTGTCTGTCACGTTGTGATGTTAGCCTGGACTCATGACGCTCAGGTGTTTCTGCCGCTAACAACTCTCTCTGTCTGTCACGTTGTGATGCTAGCCTGGACTCATGACGCTCAGGTGTTTCTGACTCTACCAGCTGCCTTTGTCTCTCACGTTGTGCTATTAACCTGGCATCATGTTGCTCAGGTGTTTCTGTTGCTATACGTTCTCTTCGTTTCTGTAGTCGACTATAGGTTTCATTTTCACTTTCTTTTGCACGTTTCGTTCTATACTTTTCTTTCGCCTTCTTTTTCGTTGTGTAGCAGTTTCGTTTTTATTTTTGTTTGTTTTTTTATTTATTGTTTCCATGTTGTTCCCACGAGTAATGGACATTTTAACGGTCGACCCCCCCAGAGGTCCAGTAGAGGGGCAAGGCTATAATATACAACAAGAGGCGCCCAATCTTGAGGGGAAAACGCTTGCGACATTACATTTTTAGCCACCCTAATGCCATACAGTCCTCAGCACGTTTTAACCTATTACCTTAACTTGGGTGGTAAAGCTACCGCTAACTACGTAGGTACATCTACAGTTCGTTTGCTGAATCTGTGTCTATGAAAGGAATGCGGACAAAAAACATTTAAATAAACAGCAATATATTTTATACGTCGACTTGACGAGTACGTCACCGCAAATCGCTCCGCCCACTCATTTTATTGGCTACTTGCAAATTTGTCGAATTTTTATTGATGGGACGCGTCGTCTAATTTTTTACGAAAAACATCGAGAGAATATCGTTTCCCCCCTCACGGATACCCCGTAGCCACAGAACGGACAGACGTACTGTAATCACCTATTTTTTTTATCTGTCCTTCTAACGTCACACAATCTTGGACACAACTGTTCTGGACACGACTACTCATGCCCTCACCAAATACGCCATTTTGTAACGACGTCCATCTTGGATTTTAAATTTTGTCATAATCACAGTATTCTACTAGTGTAGCCCTTTCATTTGATACCCATATTGAGGGGGTTGTGGAAAAATATGAAATCCGCCATTTTGTACCGGCGGCCATTGTTATTGATATTACTATATTGTATTGTCATCAGAACTAAAGGTGTGTACCAAATTTCAGATCAATCTGACAACAGGAAGGTACTTAAATTTCAATTTCTAATTTTGACCCAAATAAACAAATAAATAAAAATACCGTACGGGTCGAGCTAAATAAAACCGTTTAAAAACCTGTATAGTTTATCTTTCGAGTTTTTTTTAGTTAAAGCTTTTTTACAGAATGTACACAGAATATTTAGATATAATTAGGCTTGGTGTATTTCAGTTGATTTCAACAAATTCCGACCACAGTATAATATATAATAATATTTAAGTGTTTTAGTTTTTTGCTAGTCAAGTTATTGAGACTATAAAACACTCAGGTCCGAGGGTTGTGTGATGTAACGCTGTTTCGGGTAGTAAAAAAATAAGCGAAAAAGAATTCGAACTAGACGTCGTGTTGTGTTTTGACAATTTCAAATGTTAATAAAATTGCCAAAAAAATGTTAACGCGTAAAGGAGAGCGTAATTAGGACGTTGTTGGGCGCAATAACATTCAATAACTCAACTTTCCCGAATATTCAACTCTCCCGGAACAACATTTTATAGCTTCATAGTTTCTCATAAATTATATAATAGATATTTAATCAACATAAATTCATATATTTTAATAAAATAAATGAATATAGCTAAAAATAATTATTTATGTAGAAGGGTTGGAAGTGTCAAAACACTTTACTTTTGCACTGAACGCGAGTTTCGCTAAGCGTGTTAGCATCATCAGAAGATGATTGGAACTCCGAGTTTTAATTAAAAATCTTTGCTTTTGTGTTGTAAATATTTAGCAAACTATTATAACTCTGTCAAAATTAGCTTAAAAATTACGTTTTTAATCCTTACCTACTATGTCGTACCATAACCTATCATTATCTTCGTCGGTGGCCTGTATCAAACTGACCAGAAAGCCTATTTCGTCGCCCTCTGTCAATTTGACAGGCGGAGGTACTTTTACCACAGGGGGATGTTCGGAAGATTCAGGAACTGGAACCACCTTGACTGAGACTTTACACGTGTTACTTCTTGATGGGCTTCCATTATCCACAGCTTTAATCTAGATAAAAATAATACAACCGCTCATATGTATGCTCGAATATTCTTTAATCACGTCAAAAAAGTGAAGTACTTACATTCAATTCGTACTCTTGTCCAGGCTCGAAACCTTTCTGGGCGTAAACAACCCCAGTGGCGCTGTCAATTTTGAATTTCGATTTTCCCTTTCCCGATTTGATCATATATCTCAGCTCTGCATTAGGTCCTGTGTCTCTATCGTAGGCAAGGACCTAAGAAAAAATAGGCTTGGTGGTAAGTACAGAATTATATATTTTTTTGATAAAATGGATGAAACAAAATCTGAACCATTTGCACCAAGCGAATCAGATTATCAGCCACCTGAAAGGTCTGATTCTATCGATTCTGAAAGTATAGTTTGATTTATCATTATTTTCACTATTACTACATCAATAAGTTAGTCTGTTTTTCTGAAAAATACTTGGATATCTGACAGACATGTTGTTGGTCTGAATAAAACAGCACGATGAAGAAAAATCTTATCATCTCACTCTAAAAGGTAACGCATGAAAGATCTTCTTCCCTTTCTCCCGCCTATATACCATAACTTTTATAAAAATCCAAGGAAACACTATTAATAGACAATGTGAAGTCAAAAAATCCCTTAATGACGAAGAAGAATGTACCGATGAACCAATTTATATCTAAAATTTCAAATATTTACAGAGATAAAATGGTTCAAGTCCGAAAAAGTATAAACAAACATTCCTAAAATTGACCACAGTTGTATTTTGAGTTACTTTAGTTTGCAGTTAGACAATTTAAAATATAATAAATACCAAAAAATAAGCCCTTAATTACCTTATTTTTACAATACAGTATCAGTTGAAGAAGTTGAAGTGGTTGGCATTTTGAAAAAGCAATCAAAAGATAAAAAACGCTGCTAAGACTCAAGGACTGTATATATTGTAAAGAACTGTTCGATCGCGTCAAATCGCCGCTGTCGTAGTCGCCGTGGAATGCTACGTCACGCGCTGACCAGCGCTCCACAGTGCGGCGGATGGTTATTCTAGTGGGACAAAATCTCAAGAGCAATGTTTGGGACTTAAAATCTAAGAACGTAGCAAATGGTCTAATATATAGCAACTATATGGTTAAATTTATTTATTTATTAACAACTTAATTTATTAATAAATAAATACAAGGTAATAAAACTATGATATTATTCGTACATGACACACAAAAACCGTATTGTAAACTATTGCCAAATACATAAAATTATGATATCAAAAAACTCATTAGCAGTTTTTTTTAATTAATTTGTAATCTTGTGACACCCTCTATAATTTATTTTAAAAAAATATATTTTATTTTGAAAATAATAAATAAGATAGATATTTTAATTTTAATTTTAACACTCGGTAATTGTAAATTCATATTATAGTAAGTGTCTAAGTCAATTTTTTAAACTCAGTGCCTTTTGATGGAGTTGTTTTGTTTTTATACTATCCGATTGAAATGAATCTTTTTGGGCATTCACCTGTTAAGCTTGAACTCCCTGTGACTGTGACTACCTGTGTTGGTAACTATTGGTAACTCAAAAGATCTACATCATTGAAGTAAAAGTGAAAGTTTGATATCTGCAGAACAAAGGCACGAAGGATTTTAACAAATAATATACGTACAGTAGAAAAGTACATACCTTTGGCAATCTTCAACATAATTTGGCTTTCTAATAAAATGTATAAGCACTTGTAAATATTTTGTTTTCGTATGACCTCTGCCTTGCTGAGCAGAAAACGATCAAGTTTGGTTAATAAAAATGTATCGAAATACAAAGAATATTCATGCATTTTTGTATCAATTGGAATGTCTACTATTTATTCTTATCAGTACACATTTTTTGGCTTATTTCTAACCAAACGTTTATGTCCCGCTAAATTTATCTTCCAACGCACTGTGCGCTCGTCCGTCAAATGCAAAAATAACTGTCACTGTCTAAAATCTTTAGCGCCAACTTCAACTCGGTCAGTAGATGACGTAAAAAAACTGACAGTGCAGGAACATAGGAATCGAACTATCCTTATCTCTATAGTATCCTTGGCTAAGACTATCAAAATGTTGATCTAATAACAATTTGACGTTTATACTATTACGTCAAAAGCAACTTTTTTCCAAAGTCCACCATGACTTCACTGAATCATAGTTTCTTGTTCACTATTATTAATATCTTAATTATTAGATATTAATACATCTGATATTATGATATTCTGGTATATCGTCGATTTTAAAATAAACTAACTGTTTCTATCTTATTTTTAGGTTAGAATGGGCATAATCAAGAGGGCTATTGATACCGTGCTGTAAAAATAAGGTAATTAAGGGCTTATTTTTTGGTATTTATGATAATTTTGTTAATATCTTCGGTTTGAAAGAAGATATCAAGATGCGGTTTTCGCTGTCTTTTTAAGCTTTTACTACACTTTACTATCAGCTAAAATTACATATACTATTGCATTTAATTTTTTTGAAAAAACGCGCAAAGTTCGTTATATTGTAAGACAACGCCCCCTAGCGTCTGCGTTCAAAAGCTTATTATTATTGTTTATATGGTACAATATAGAGTAAGAAACGCCCTTTTAAACGAGCCCTCGCTTGTTGGATTCCGATCATCCAGTCCAGAGTTATAAATTTTCAAATAAAAACAGATCTAACCTTCCCCCACCACTTTATTTTGGTAGATAGGGGAAAATGGCTCTAACAAAAAATATTCAAAATTTACTGAAGATTACGAAGCTGTCACTTATAGTACACCTTATATAGGCAAAATGGTGTAAAAACTCCATTTTCTTATTTTTTGTTCCAGTTGCGCCGCCTAGCGGTCGTTCTACTAACTTGAAAATAATTTCCAGCAATTTCCCATAGCCTCTTTAGTTATAAATATTTTTTTCCGCAGCCGCTACGGCTACTACTTTCCGAGATACAGCCGAGAGCTATTCTTAGTGGGACACCCTGTACAAAAAAAGTCACTCATGGACCAAGAACAGTTAACCTAATAGGACTGCTCATTCAGCCAAAAGTGTCCGCCAGGTGCATGCGAAAACTACTCGCTTTGTGACGTCATTGTAGCCCTTGTCATGGTTATTAGTCCTTATCCGGCAACCAATAATACACACACGTGCATTATTGGTTACCGAATGCAAAACGTTCATTATTTAGTTTATTTATTTAAACACCTTATATGTATGCAGTATAGAAAATTAACTGTATAAATCGTATTAAATACTCGGATAATGCATTTTTAAGAACAGCAGTTCCCAGCATCACCTTTTGCAAGCATTCTTTTTAGAGTACTTCCATATTTTGCTTTAAAATAATTAATAAACAAAATCGTGGGCACTTAGTATGCACTTTGTCACAATCCACAACACAAAATGAACGTATTTTCTAAAAACTATAGCTCTACAAACTTTAAAGACACCTTTTTCACATTTAAAATTGACAAAATAATTAACTCAAAATTTCTCAGCTGTTATTTTTATAAGTTTACCATAGGCAACTAATAATACACACTATCATGACAAGGCCACGAAGGCTTTGACAAGGGCTACAATGACGTCGCAACTGTCAGCTGAAGCGCGGGAAGAGGCGAACGTACGTCTTATGAGGATGAGCAATCCTATTAGTTTACCGTTCTTGCTCATGGACTACATTAGGTTGGGAATGGTCTAGAAATGAATACAGCTGTTCTATGTCTGGCCATATATCGTGGTCCCTAAGTGTTGGACCTATAAATACGAACGTATAGGTTTTGCCATTGACATAAGCGATCGCTTATTATGATGGAACACTTTATCGCGCCAAACGACGAGACGTTTCGACGGCTATATCGACGTTCTATTTTCGTTCACAGAGACACACGCCTGTATATAAATTTAGCAGCTCTATGCTGACGGCCATTGTGAATCAATCTAACTCTAAAATGGTGCTCTACTTCGAATATTGTAGAGTCTGACGCCAAACAATAAATAGTCCTGGACGGCTTTTGTCCTGATGATGACAGAAGTTTGCCATTTCCAGATACGGATGGTATGTGGAAAAGAAATTTTATAAAAGACCCTACTGTACAGGGTGGGTCAAATTGGACGCTTTTAAAAGGAGATTTCTATAGGAGATCGACGAAAACTAATATCGGTGTCTGGAGCTCAATTTTTATCGAAAATATGATGGTGAAAACCGCACATCGATATCTGTTACCTTTTATGAGCTACGGGGTGTTTTTCAAAAATGTGCATTTTTAACAAATCGCTGTAACTTTTTTGCTATGGAAAATTTTGTATTTTTGTGAAAACATTTTCAAAGCACCTTTTTATGTGGAGTTTAATGGTTTATGTATTATTTTTTTTAAATTAATAATTTAAGAATTATCAACAGAAAATTTGATTTTTTATATGGTATAGAGGTGGGAATTCTAGTTCCTTGGGAGGAACTAGTTCCTTAGTTCTAGTTCCTCCAGAGGGGGTTCCTTGAACTAGGTCTTTAGTTCACAATACAAATTCATCGTCGTCGCCATGTATTATATCTCGGATCTGCCGACTGAATAGATTCCCGTGAACTAGTCTTTTAATAGTTCCTCTATGTCCGGATCCGATAACATACGGCTGGCACTCCCCACGCCTGCCTAGCATCAATCGCGCTGACTGATCCATACGTAAACTAGTCTTTTATTTAGTTCCTCTAGTTCCTTTAGGTCCGGATCCGATAACATACGGCATACGGCTGGCACTCCCCACTCCTGCCTAGCATCGATCGCGCTGGCCCGATCCGTACGTACGTAAACTAGTCTATTTAGTTTAGTTCCTCTAGGTCCGGATCCGATAACGTACGGCTGGCACTCCCCACTCCTGCCTACCACCGGGCTACGCACGCCAGCCGATCCGTCGCCGTCGCATATTATTCTATATCGGTCACAGTCTCGATCCCGGAATAGGTCCTGAGAAACTAGTTCTTTGAGAAACCAGGAACTCGTTCCTTTCATTCCGGGGTCGGAATAGTTCATAGGAACTAGTTCGTTCATGAACTACACACCTCCAATCTACATCCTCCCAATATGGTACACCCTGTATATTTTTAATTCATTGAAAATAATTTTAAATTACCTTTCCAAAAATATAGCATACATGATATTTTGCTCGATTCCTCTTCGAGATATAGAGTTTTCAAAAATTCGCCCACTTTAAATAAGTAGGCTTTGAACGGCGCCGGCTGTCATGCAAAAAAAAATTCTAGCTCTAAGCAGCAATTAAAACGAAAATAATATTTGCAATGAGAGATGCAGAATTTTATAACAATTTTAACTATATTTAACAACATCAACACATTTAAACTATGTCTAATAACAATAAAAATTAATAGCAAAGCAAGACATGAGATTTTGCTACAGGTGTTCGACTTCTGTTACGGACAGACGAGACCGTTTTTGCACATTTTTCGCGAAATTCATTAACTCAGTGGGGGTGAAAGATACCCTCGCATAACCCCTAAGTACTTCTAATGCTTGACTAGATCATACGAGCAATTGAAAAATAAGAACCTTTATTCTTCGGCAAAGATAAAAATCCATAGGCACTAAGTCCGGCGGCCTCGACGGCCAACGGCTGGGATCTTCGTTAGCTATTCAATTATTCTCGAAATTGGCTGCAAAAATTTGCTGATAACTTAAGCGTTCTGAGGCGGTGCCTCATCTTGCTGGATAAAATCCTATAGAAAAGAATGTTTCCCTTTAAAAGCGTCCAATTTGACCCACCCTGTACAGGGTGAGTCAACGACAGAGTCAAGTTCATTATCTCATTTGTTTCGAGGTTTACAAAAAAATGCTAAATATAAAAGTTATAGGGACGGTTAAGATACACATTTTAAAATTATTAGAGTATACAGGGTGCTTCAAAAAAGTGTGGCGGATATAACGTACGTTTTTTTTAAATACAACACTGTATTTTTTATTTCATTTTTAGATTCTGCGAAAAATCCTATAAATTTGTTGTATTTGATGTTATATCCCTAAAATTAATAGTTTTTTTTAAATTTTAGTGTACTTAGTAAAAAAATGTCAATGATGCCATTGTTTCTGAAGCTGGACTAAAAAGATCAACCTATATGTCTGTGTGATAATTCTGAAAAAATAAGCAGTGTAGTGATATGCAAAACAAACTTAAACGTGAACATATTCAAAAATATCGACTGATGAAACAGAAAAATGAATTGTTAGTGGATGATATAGCGAAAATCCAGTCTCCTTATCATTCCACATGCATAAAAAAGAGTAATAGATGACTTTTTATCAACCTAGCCATTGCGTATATGTGTATGTACAACAGTGATCATGCCTCATGCATATCTTGCCATGCTCCATTTCCGTGTTGCGATGAAAATTCTGGGTTCTCTTACCCTCAGAGCTGGCTCTAAGTCTCTAAAATCTGAAGGCACGTGACTTTCCCAAGGCTCTAACTCTATGGCAGCGTCGGCCACTTCGAAATCGTCCACAAGGTAACCTCTATCGTCATTCTGGACAAGAATGGTTCGATTTATTGATAAACGATATAATTTTACAAAAATTAAAAGATTCATGCTTTTCATTATAGGTCATTATCATTATTATAATCACTATTAATTAAAGAAAGAAAAAAACTATGTTAAGAGAACTTGATATACAGGGTGGTCTAAACTGTATTCCGGAAACTTCGGCAGCATATTCTCCAGATGAAAATAAGTAAAAAAGTTCGTTTAAATGTATGTCCTAAAGCGCTTAGTTTTGGAGATACAGGGTGTAGAAGTTTCATTTTTATTTCGATTTTTCCAAATATTTTCTGAAGTAACGTCAATATTTGGATGAAATTTGGTGCCTGGGAGTTTTTTGACACGAGGAATTTGATTTGGATATTAATATAACTCCTACTTGTAGAGGACGCCGCCTAAATATATTTTAACTGGTTTGAAAAGTAATAACTTTTCGCCCGTACCTGTATAAAACTACCGAGTAAAAAAATATACATTTACGACTTTTTCTACGTAAAAAAGGTCCTTGGTAAATATCGCTACGAATAATAGTTTTCGAGATATTTTGAATCGAAATTATCAATACCTGTCATCAATACCTGTATTAGTTATTAGAAATGCTAATAATTGCCTGGAATTTGATATCTATAGGAAAAATACGACCACACGCAGATATATTGCTAATGAATCACATCATAGTGTTGAACATAAAATGGCTAGTTTAAATTTCTTAGTTCATAGATTACTTAGTTTCCCACTTTCCAACGAAAGATATGAAATAGAAAGAGATTACATTAGGAATGTAGCTGAGCGTAATGGATATTCTCCTTCATTAGTTGATAAATTAATTAGAAAACGTAGGTATAGGTTAATGATTTCTGAAAATTCGACTTTTCAAGTGGAGAAAGATACATACGTCTAAATATTTTTCGATACCGTTTGATAGAGAGTTATCCCGTGGTCTAAAAGGAATTTTTAAGAATGTCAATTATAAACTTGTGTATAGTGCTAATAATAAATTACAACAATTATTAGGTAATCCAAAGGATAAAACACCTCCACTGGAAAGGTCGGGTATTTATGAAATTTCTTGTAAAGATTGTAATCAGAAATATGTTGGGCAAACTAGAAGATCAATATTAACTAGATTTAAAGAACGTTTAGCTCAGATAAGATATGGTAGACCGGATAAATCTTGCGCTGCCGAACATATTGTTGATAAAGAACATTGTATAGATCTTAACAATTTAAAATTAATTAAACAAGTCTCAAATTACAGGCAATTAGATGCATTTGAAAGCATCAGAATTAATAAATGTAAAGATAGTATGAACAGAGTCAACAGTCCAATTCCTTCAAGTTCTTTGTTCCTACTACTCTAGTGGCGGAAATCTAACTGTTACGCTCAGTGGGCTCTGACTCGGTTGGCTAGATTTTGCCACGCCCACTCGGTGCCCACTGAGCGAGTATATAAACGCTCAACTTGTAGATTGTAATTTAGTTTATAATCATCTGCTGATGATGCTAACATGGTTAGCGAAACGCGCGTCCAGTGTAAAAGTAAAAGTGTTTTGGTGCATTGTGGTGATTTAGTGTTTTTATTTTGCTGTGTAACACCAAAGGTTCCAACCCTCAACTGTAATCTTGAAATCATAAATTTGAAATGATTTTGTGTTAAAAGTTCAACAGAAGCTCTTTTATCATCATTTTTTCGAAGAAAAAATTTTGATTCAGTCAAATAATTGCGATTTTTACCAAGAGACGGTTTTTACGTAAAAAGTCACGGAAACGTATATTTTTTAATTCAGTAGGATTTTATACAGGTACGGAGGAAAAGTTATTACTCTTTCTTTTTCTTCGGGTTCCATCTCCTAATGGAGGTTGGAAATCATCAATTCTAACTTTGTTAACGGCTGCTCTGAATAACCGGTTTGAAGTCATTCCAAACCATTCTCACAAATTCTTGAGCCACGATGTTCTTCTTCTTCCTTGGCTCCTTCTGCCCCTTTATCTTTCCTTCTATTATGTTCTGCAGCAGGGCATATTTAGGTCCTCCCATTATGTGTCCAAAGTACTCAAGTTCTCTCTTTTTAAGAGTGTTAATCACCTCTGCGTCGCAGTTCTACATTTGTAACCTTGTCAGTCCATGCAATCCTCAGCATACGCCGATAACACCATATTTCGAATGCTTCAAGCTTCTTCATTCGTTTGTATTTCTGCTGATTGATCCAAGTTTATTATTACTCTTTAAAACAGTTAAAACACATATCGGTGGCGCCCCCTACAAATAGAAGTCGTATCTACATCAAAATCAAATTTCTTATGTCAAAAAACTCCCAAACACGTTACTTCGAAATAAAAATGAAACTTCTACACCCTGTATATCTCCGAAACTAAGCATTTTAGGACATCATATTTACACGAACTTTTTTACTTATTTTTATCTGCAGAATATGCTGCCGAAGTTTCCGAAATACAGTTGGGACCACCCTGTAGAGAATTCGAGTCAGTAAAATTCATACCTACGTCACGTAGTACTACTATAGCGTATGTATAACGCACCTATACTGCGAATTGCTTGTTATTCAAGATGTCGTCGGCAGGAAGATATAAGTAAAAAAAATATGCTTGGAAAAGCGTTATAAAATATTTAAAATGGCGAAAACTTGAAGGAAAAATAGATTTTCCAGTTACGGGAGGTGACAGAATGGGGAACTGCCTTGCCCTGAAGAGCAGGGAACATATTTCGTTCGAAAAGCCGATAAAATTTGATAAATATAAAGAGAAATAATACAAAAATATCGAGCAAAATATTAATAAAAAAATATCTGGTAAAATTTCAAGTCAAAAATTTTCAAGTAAAAATCAGTCATCCGTATTAGCTAGTTAATATTTGATTTTGATATTTTTGCCTTAAATAAACAGTTATATACCTGAAACATGGCTTTGTTATAGTTTCCGGTGGCCGGAATGACAACACTGTACGATATCTGCTCGAATTCGGGCGCGTTGTCATTGATATCGTCAACTTTGACGACAACTCTCGTGGTCGATGACAGTGATGGTTCGCCATTGTCAGAAATAGAAACCTGGAAAGAAAAAAAAAAACGGACTTAAAAAGGCTTTTATTAAATATAAAAAATATTTATTATAAACTTTTATTGATTTTCTTATACAGGGGCATCCTTTGTCAGCCAGCCATTCATGGACGTGCCTACAAGTAGGTATTTTAAATAATATTACTTATACAAAAATTATTTCTTTGATGTTGTCGATAATATTTGTAAACACTGATTTTAATATATCCTCATAAAAAACCAGACTAGATAAAATCAGGAGCATCTAAGTATTCTATTAATTGGTGAATGCACAGTGCATTCACCAACTAATAGAATCATATCAATTCTTTCTGATATAGGATAAGTTTGCAGGGGTTGAGGGGTAGGCAACCTACAATATCAACGTATTTTGAAGAGACACGAATTCCCCATTGAATATCGGAATAATATAGTGGGTGTTCCATTTAAAATAAAAGAGTAACTTGCTTTTAAAAGCGACCAATGTTCAATATTAATTTTGTCTCACCCTGTATAACTTTTTGGGTCAAATTTTAATTTGATTTAAAGTACAACAGTTATTTTAACTGTATATTAAGCTATACCGGGTAAATTCCAGTTTAAGTAGATTTTATTGTAATTTAAAAATTGTTCTTTATTTTTAGAAAATGTTAAATACTATGTCAAAAACCTTACGTTTTAGTCATATACTTCTCTAATGAAACTCACCTTTATTTTTCTCCCAGAATCAGAAAATCAATTAATATATATAGGGTGTTTCATTACAAAAACACAACTTGGATATGTAACTTTTTTTGGGGACACCCTGTAGAACTTTCTATATTTTTCAAAAGTGCCCTGAAGTACATGCAGTATGCTCACAAAATTTCATTTAAAAAAAAATGAAAATTTCGTTTTTATTCAATAAAAACTGTCGTTCTCCTTGGAGCCTCCGCGTGATCAGGCGTCACCCTGTGTATAGGTAGCGATCTTTAAATTATATTGCTGATAATTTAAACGTGTTTTGTAGTACACACACCGGAAAAGTCTAGGGATATTACAATTTTATCATTTGTATTTCAGTAATTTTATTATTTGTATTTCTAATATAATAAAATTAAAATAAACAAATAGTTTACAGGACGTATTGGAAATAAAAATGCGAAATTTAACGATTTTTTCAAATTTACCTTGATTTATATTGAACTCAAAAAAATACTGTGAATTAATAAAAAATATAAAACCATTTTTACTTAATAAAGGGTATGGCCTCCTCTACTGTTCATTACAGCCCTACATCGTCTCTCCATGCTCCTGATCAGGTTGTCGATCTCTTCTTGAGGTACAGCCTGCCACGCTGCATTCACGGCCCGAACCAGATCCCTACGAGTTTCACGAGGCATACCCATTCTCAAAATTCTTCTTTGGACCGCGTCCCATACGTGCTCGATGGGGTTGAGGTCAGGAGATTGTGCCGGCCAGGGTAAGATTAATTGATGAGCATTGATAAACTCACTTACCACTCTGGCTGTATGAGGCCGTGCATTGTCATGCATGAGAATGAAGTTTCTCCCAAAATCAATGGCATATGGTAACACGACAGGCTCAAGAATTAAATCACGATATGTGATTCCTGTTAGAAACCTTTCAAGAAAAACAAGATCGGTTTTTCGGCCTAACTGAACTCCTCCCCAGACCATAACTGTTCCACCTTGATAAGGGTGCACTTCCTGAACATGATCCAACCGAATAAGATTTCCCGGTTCTCTCCATACCCTAAGCCTTCTCGAATCTGGATGAATTCCAAAGCGTGACTCATCCGTGAAAAGAACATTTGCCCATTGTTCATTCGATCACTGAACATGATCTTGAGCCCACAAATATCGTACCTCTCGATTTCTCTCGTTAAGGGTTGAGCTCTCCAGGGGCGTCTGCTTCTTAAGTTAACCTCTCTTAATCTATTGCCAACAGTGTCAGGACTAACGGTTACATTATGTGTTTCCTGGAGAATTAAACTAAGCTATGGTGCTGTAAGAGTCGGTCGGCGTCGAGCATTTAATTGTAAAAAATGATCTTGCTGAGGGGTAGTAATGCGATGTCGCCCTGTGTGCCTTTCAGCAACATCACCACTTTCACGGTACCGTGTACTTAATCGCGATATTACACTTTGCGTTGTATTTAATGCTCTAGCTACGTCGATTTGGCGCATTCCAGCTTCGAGCATACCCATGGCCCTTAGCATTTCGTCTCTGTTAAGATGTCTACGCTCCATAATGTCGTTTAATACTAAACAGAGTTATTTCAATGAATTCTGGCCAGTTATCATAAAAACATAGCCAGTACAGGTTAAATTCGATTCAATTGATGCTAGGTGCTTTTTATACATTTGACAAAAAATGCACAAACACTTCTGCAAATATCCCAAATTTAGAAATAACTAGTGTGACTACTTCGTTTCAATCGAAGTAGAAACCATCGGCCTACAAATATGTGGTTGTTTATTCAAAACATTTATTTTTAACTTTAATAAAATGATATCCCTAGATTTTTCCGGTGTGTGTAAATTGATCATACCCCAATATTTTCTTTGCATTCACGAAATTCCTTCCCAAAATTCCGTCATATTTTCGAGACAACTCTATGTTTCATTTTTTCCTCTTTTCGCTCAGTGCACGTTTTCCATTAATAACTTTGCGGTTTTATTAGAGGACCAAGACCGATTACCGGGTGGCCATGGACTGCTGCGAAAATTGGCTGCGACGGAATATCTAAATTAGAGGCGGTGGCCCTTTTAAAATTATGATAGATCGGCCTTTTACCCGACCTCGGACCTAACTAAGGACGACACGTCGAATAAAATGACTAACAAGGAACGAGAGGCACACTATTTTTATATTCATTGAAAAAATCACTGAGATATTTCATTGAATCATGGATATCGAGACGTTTAGTATAATTTTTTTAGTTTTAACACTTTTTTAAAAAAAAATTGGCGTCGGGAGGCAGGTATAGCCGTCCATACTAAAATATGTTAATATCTCAAAAACACTGCGACTTTGACTGATTTTGATGTTATTACAAATTTTGTTGCAAATATTATTCCTAATCTTAATTTGAAATAAAATGAAAAATATACGAAATAATATACATGTACTGATTTCTTTCGAAAATCGACAACTATGAAACTATGAACCCTTCCCGGCCACAAACTGTACATTGTGAGACAGGAAATTGTAGAAAGAAACAAGCCCTATAACATAGGATACAACATTTTAATGAACAATGCTTTCCATAAAATCAATAAAATGAAAAATATACGAAATAATATTCATGTACTGATTTCTTTCGAAAATCGACAACTATGAAACTATGAACCCTTCCCGGATACAAACGGTACATTGCATTGTGAGACAGGAAATTGTAGAGAGAAACAAGCCCTATAACAGAGGATACAACATTTTAATGAACAATGCTTTCCATAAAATCAATAAAATGAAAAATATACGAAATAATATACATGTAATGATTTCTTTCGAAAATCGACAACTATGAAACTATGAACCCTTCCCGGCCACAAACTGTACATTGTGAGACAGGAAATTGTAGAAAGAAACAAGCCCTATAACATAGGATACAACATTTTAATGAACAGTGCTTTCCATAAAATCAATAAAATGAAAAATATACGAAATAATATTCATGTACTGATTTCTGTTGAAAATCGACAACTATGAAACTATGATCCCTTCCCCAACACAAACGGTACATTGTGAGACAGGAAATTGTAGAGAGAAACAAGCCCTATAACATAGGATACAACATTTTAATGAACAATGCTTTCCATAAAATCAATAAAATGAAAAATATACGAAATAATATACATGTACTGATTTCTTTCGAAAATCGACAACTATGAAACTATGAACCCTTCCCGGCCACAAACTGTACATTGTGAGACAGGAAATTGTAGAAAGAAACAAGCCCTATAACATAGGATACAACATTTTAATGAACAGTGCTTTCCATAAAATCAATAAAATGAAAAATATACGAAATAATATTCATGTACTGATTTCTGTTGAAAATCGACAACTATGAAACTATGATCCCTTCCCCAACACAAACTGTACATTGTGAGACAGGAAATTGTAGAAAGAAACAAGCCCTATAACATAGGATACAACATTTTAATGAACAATGCTTTCCATAAAATCAATAAAATGAAAAATATACGAAATAATATTCATGTACTGATTTCTGTTGAAAATCGACAACTATGAAACTATGATCCCTTCCCCAACACAAACTGTACATTGTGAGACAGGAAATTGTAGAAAGAAACAAGCCCTATAACATAGGATACAACATTTTAATGAACAATGCTTTCCATAAAATCAATAAAATGAAAAATATACGAAATAATATTCATGTACTGATTTCTTTCGAAAATCGACAACTATGAAACTATGAACCCTTCCCGGATACAAACGGTACATTGCATTGTGAGACAGGAAATTGTAGAGAGAAACAAACCCTATAACATAGGATACAACATTTTAATGAACAGTGCTTTCCATAAAATCAATAAAACGAAAAATATACGAAATGAATATATTATTAGGCTTATTAGGCCAAATTACAACAGACTACCGCAAGCAGATATAATAATTATTTTTTTACGTCACAACTTCATTCCACAACTAAATGAAATGATAATACTAATAACGTCTCTATAATTTAAGCTAACGATGCTCTTAATCTCGAGTCCTAACCGTGTTTCTCGGTCGAAGAATTTCCGACAAGCGCCCAAAGTTTCCCAACTTTCCTCCCACGATTAATATAGTACCTTGTCGCCAACACCCTACAGCCTTATTATCCTCTCCAACATATCCTCCACCTCAGGAATTCGTCACTTTCGCCGCAAAGTCTCCACGTTTCCCGGGCCCGCTTGTTTTCTTGGAAGAACTTTCCCCAAGACAATAATAATCTACATGAAGGGACGAAGGAAACCAACACACACATATACAGGGTGGCGCCTCTCATACACCGCGGAAGCTCTAAGGAGAACGGTAGTTTATATCGAAATTAAATTTTGGCAGCTTATGTCTGAGAATTATACAGGATGTCCCCAAAAAAGTTACCTACATATTAAAGTTATGTTTTTTTTCTAATGGAACACCCTATATATTAATCGATTTTCGGATTCTAGGAAAAAATAAAGGTGAGTTTTATTAAAGAAGCAATATACCTAAAATCTTAGGATTTTGACATATTATTTCACATTTTGTGAAAATGAAGAGTAAATTTTAAATTTCGATAAAAGCTACCTAAATTTTAGTTGACCTTGTATAGCCTGATATGTAGTTACAGTAACCATTGTATGTTAAACCAAATTGAAATTTGACCCGAAAAGTTATACAGGGTGAAACAAAATTAATATGGAACATTAGTCACTTTTAAAAGCAAGTTACTCCTTTATTTTAAATGGAACACCCAGTATATTTTTCCGGTGTTCAATGGGTAATTTATATATCTTCATAATATTATTAAGGTTGCCTACCCTCCAGACAAAGATTTTCCTAGATATTTTAATTTTTTTGATTTTGCCTCAGTAGATCTTTATTATTTGAAAAAATCTAGGTGGTTGAAATATACCTTTTGTTAATTTATCAAAAATTAAAAATACTCAACGGTAATAAAAAGATACACGTTCAAAATATATTTTAATTATTACAGAATTAAAACTAGATATAAACCTATAATTATGTGACAAAAATTAGCTAGATGAAATTAAATGCTCAAAATGCTTCTTTTCCTGTTAACATGATTGTCTTTTCAAAAGGATCTTTTCATTTTAAAAGGCATATATGTATGTGGAGTTCTACCTCGAAAAGCAGTTACAATAATTTCTCGATAATAGTTGGTCGAGTTTTGTAAACACTGTCTTCAACATATCCCCATAAAAAAAAACCCAGACTAGATAAAATCGGCAGCATTTAAGTATCCTATTAATTCCCTCTGATGTACATTATTTACTTTTGATCCTAGATATTTTTGCAGTCGAAAAATTTGACGAGCTATACAACATACGACTAAATTTTTCTGGAAAATTTAATAAACCGCCTTTAAAGCCGGCTCAAACCCCTAGAGGGCGCTGCTAAAGAGTGCGGCGATAATAATAAGCGATGCCATTAATATAAGCGGGCGGAATTTTAATGAAAAACTCTATTATCTATTTCCATTATGCGCCATAAAGGTCGGCGTGGATTTTACGAGCGGGACTGCCGTCCGTAAAAGCGCCAGCCAGCGCTACTTCATAAACTCCGTAATTAACAACTTGCATTATTCACCGGTCGTGAAAAGCCATACTTATGCCGGAAAAGACGTTAAAGGAAACCCATATAGCCAGATACGAGTCGCCAGAATGTCTTCCAGACTGCCGAGACGATACGTTTAATGTCTCCCACTCATTATAACCTATAGAGATTTTTACGGCAGTAAAACTTCATAAAGAACATCGAAATTAATAGAATACATTAGTGGTTTCAATTATTAGCGTACAGTTTGTTTCTCTAATTTCAATGTATAAAATCTAGTGGTAGTAATTTTCAACTAGTAGTTTTCAACTTTTGCCACTAACTATACAGGATTGTTCACCACATACGACACGGAGTATTGTATCTAAACGATGAGATTTTTACAAATTGTAAGTTTTGGACTCGATGAAGGACTATTAGAGGTACAATTTAAAAATAATTTTACAAGATACAGAGTGTCCCAAATAAGTAAAAAATATCAAAGTTGTATTTTTTTAAATGGAACACCCTGTATATTATTACATTTTTAGTTTCTACGATTAAAATAAAGGTAAATTTGATTAAGATTTATTATACTTAAACCTTATCGTTTTTGAAATATTTTCAATTTTGTGAAATTGCAGTAAAAATTTTAAGGCTTCATTTCTCCAAGGGTATCAAAGTTTTTAATACTAAATATTTACTGAAGTTTATTTACTGATCAGGTATTGTGCTGCAATAATAAAAATAATACTACCTTATACAGAGTGTCTAAAAATTTATTTTAAATAATTATTAGCTTCAAACGGCAATAACTTGTTTAATTTAAATGGAACACCCTGTATATTTTACGAGAATCAGTTGCACAATTTAATTGTCTATCAAATTATATTATACCATTTTTTACCTATCTCTTTAAGTTTCCGTAGAAAATGCATTTTCTTGTAATTTAGAACTTATTTATCAATATACCTATGGACTATTATTGACATTTTAGATTATTTTTAAAAATGTACCAAATTTTTAAAGAGTACAGATACTAATATTGTCGATATAATTCGTTTATTTCATTAAAAAATAAAAAAAACTGTTTAAATATTTGTTAAAGAGGACCAATTAATATGATTCCAGTATTCAAACTACATTAACTGACTGTTTGCTTTGATTAATAATAATTGCTCCAAATACTAAAAAACTGAATTTTGTATGGGCATTAGACAGTGTGATAAAAAGTAACACCTTAAAAATGATATTTCATTTTTTAATAAATGCTTATTTATAACTACAGAGACTTTAATTTGATAACTTATTATTATATTGATTTCTGACTCAAATCCACATTTATTTATAATAATTTAATAACGAACACAATTAAGTATGTAATTAATTAGTATATGGGCGCAAATAATGGTGTTATATTTAATTAATGGTATACTCTTTTATAAAGATTTAAATAGTTTTCTTTTTGCATACAAATGGGCTAGTAATATTATCGTTTTGCTAAAAACGATAATATTACTAGTCTGTACATTTTGTACATTTGTTGCTTTAAAAACAATCTAAAATGTCAATATTCCATAGATATATTGATAAATGAGGTCTAAATTATAAGAAAATGCATTTTATACGAAAACTTGAAGGGATAGGTAAAAAATGGTATAATACAATTTGATAGACAATTTAATTGTGCATCTGATTCTCCTAAAATATACAGGGCATTCCATTTAAATTAAAGAAGTTATTGCCGTTTAAGTTAATAATTATTTAAAGTAAATTTTTAGACACTCTCTATAAAGTAGTATTATTTTTATTATTGCAACACAATAACTGATCAATAAATAAACTTCATTAAATATTTAGTATTAAAAACATTGATACCCTTGGAGAAATAAAGCTTTAAAATTTTTACTGCAATTTCACAAAATTGAAAATATTTCAAAAACGTAATGTTTAAGTATAATAAACCTTAATCAAATTTACCTTTATTTTAATCGTAGAAACTAAAAATGTAATAATATACAGGGTGTTCCATTTAAAAAAATACAACTTTGATATTTTTTATTTATTTGGGACACTCTGTATCTTGTAAAAATATTTTTAAATTGTAGCTCTAATAGTCCTTCATCGAACCCCAAACTTACAATTTGTAAAAATCTCATCGTTTAGCTACAATACTCCGTGTCGTATGTGGTGAACAACCCTGTATACTTCAAATTTTTCAGAAAAATAAGTAAACATGGAGTATGAATAAATATCATTAATTTTGACATAAATGACACTGACGGTCCGCTTTTTATAGATAATCCACGGTGCCAAACTATTTAAAAAATCGTCTAATTATTCCTTATTTTTGATATATAAAAAGTATCTTTTATTGACATCGGGCCAATCAATAATTTTCCCAATCAGCTCAAAATATTGACGACGTTGCCAGTGTTACTCATCAAGCAATACTATTGTTATATTAATCAACTAGCGTGTACCCGCGACTTCGTTCGCGTCTAATTAATCATTTGTAATGGTGATGATAAAGTAAAGCAAGAATTTCCATTAACATACAAACTGGATAGCATTTTCTCGCATTTTATATCAACATGAAAAAAAAACAATCGAAAAAACCCTCCTTATTGAACCTCTACACCCCACAGCCAATAGTTTTATTACCCTTAGAATTCGAGTTTAAAAAAAATCCCTTCTTATCAGAACCTCTACACCCTAAAGTCAATCTGTTTTCCATAAATCAGCTTTTTTTACGTCAAGCGCTTTAAGCAGGATCGTGATTAATCAATGACCAGATTGTTCGAAACACCCTGTATACATTTTTTAAAAAATCTTAAAAATATGTAAAAACAAAATAAAATATACGTGTTTAAGCGTTTTTCGGAAACTTGACCGTTTTTTAAATAAAAAATATTGTAATATTTGAGGGGTGGTTCCTCTTGGAACTGGAATTTCGAAAAATCCCTTCTTATCGAACCTCTACACACCCTAGAATCAACCTGTATGCCAAAATTGAGCTTCGTGGAATATATATATCAACATAAAACGAACAGTTATTTTAGAGAAACGTCTAGGTTTACTTATTTCACTGAGACTTTTATGAAAAAAAGTCCTTTGCCTCGGGTACAGATACCGCCACGTTTTGGAAATAGCTCAGAATGAAACAAAATTGAGGGAGGCAACAGAAAACGCAAAAAAATCCCCACACGCCCTCCTCGCGAGTAGTTTTTAGGCGCTTTTAAGAATCGCAAGTAGGTCGAGGCAAACCGAAGTAAGTCAAGACAACTGGAAATAAACTGAAATGCGACCTTGACCTGCTTCGAAAAGTTCTCTGCATAGTGTAGAGGTTGTTTATGACTGATAATAACTAATAATTTTTTTTTGATTTACACTCCCTTTTTTATATAACACAAAAAATAATATAGAATCAGATGAAAAAAGAAAATAAAAGGATTAAAACTAATTAATTAAAATTATTTTTTTATAAACACGGCAAAAGCTTAAACAAAGAAGAGTATACCTTATTAAAACATAATAGGATTTTTTTAACAGATTTTTCTTTGTTAATTAGCATCCATAAGTCGGATTAATGAAATGATAAACATGGCATTAGATATGTATAAAAACAGAAAAAAATACCATCTAAATAAGAAAAAAAAAACATAAAAAATTAAAAAAAAAGAAAATTATTTACCTCCAAAATATGTTCATCCTGTGTTTCCCGGTCCAGTTTTCTGGCAGTTGTAGAAATTTCACCTGGAAAGAAAAATTAATCATTTTAAAATTTCAAATAAAGAAATATTTTTTTTAACTAAAGTTTAAAAAAATGGCAGTGTTTCCTATTTAAGACAATTCCTCAATATTGAGAAAAAAACGATCCAAAAAACATTATTTAATAGGAAAAACCCTCAACATTACGTAAAAAGTATTCTACTTAATCAAAAGCGAGTCCCCATAATATAAAACCCATCGTATCGTTTGTAAAAAGCCCATTTCGGACCTAAAAGTGCCCTCATAACAAAAATAAATTGCCCTAAGATACACTAAAACCTTTTATTGAAACGACCCATCCATTATATCCGGGGAAGATACATGCTACGCAATAATATGACGTTTGGAGATGTAAAAAATGGGGTCTTTAAGAAAAAAAAAAAAGGAATTTTTAGTGTCGTTTGATCATAAGTCACGTTTTTTACATATTGGAAGCTTTTTTAAAACATCAAAAGTATGATTTTTTCATTTTTTTCTCAATAAAGCTGTAAATTTATTTAAAATAAATTTATAACTTACAAATTTTAAAAGAACATCTCCAACAAAGAAGAAAGAACAAGGAAACAAATCTAAGGGAATGTAAAAAACGAAATTAACTGAGCTTACAAGACATATATTTGCGTATAAGATATTCCACGCACGAAGTGAGCAAGTAATTTTCAAGGAAATGGTTCGCTTTTCAATGATTCGATCTCCTTAATGGTTCATTTGATTACCCGAAAAGAAAATTCCAGGAAAAAGTACAGATTGTGGCAAAAAAAAATAAACCAGAAGTTAGAAATCCAGTATGTTCTACATAATAAAACAAAAGGTTATATAATATTCATTGGAAACAGGACACAGAACACAAAATAGATTTGAACAGTGCAAAATTATAATGAAAGAAGCAATACCCTCTAAAAGAAAAATAAAAAGGCTTTTTTAATACAATCTAATAAAAATAAATGTATTGCTCATGCATCTGTAGATGTTAGTAATGTATGGCAATCGCTTCTTTGATTTTAAAGAACATAACATACGTAAAAATTAAAAATAATCATACAGAAAGTTTGAAGCTTTTTGGTTTTACCTTATTAAGTAATTGTTATCAGGTAGTAATTGTTAATTTTGAAGTTTAACTTAATATAATGTCATTTTAACAGAACGTCAACGGTTTTTGTAGACGTATTTGTTTTTAAAAAACTAAAGTGTTCTGGAATAGTTTCATTTAGTTATTTCAAATAGCTTTTTTTCTTTGTTCTTTGTTTTCTTTGTATTTTTTAATATTAATTTAAGCGTGCTCTAATAATTATACATAGGTCTTCTTTTAATGTTTTGTATTTTGTATATAAACACTTTTACTAATAGTAGTTGAAAGGACCCCAAATTTTTTATTATTAAATTAAATCTATACTAATATATAATTAAGTTATTAATATTAGTCCTTAAGTGACTGACACACTGATTAATCAAGATCCTGCTCAAAACACTCAACGTAAGAAGCTCAATTTTGGCATACAGGTTGATTCTAGGGTGTAGAGGTTCGATAAGAAGGGATCTTTCGAAATTCCAGTTCCAAGGGGGTGAAACCACCCCTCAAATATCACAATATTTTTATTTAAAAACGGTCAAGTTTGCGAAAAACGCTTAAACAAGTATATTTTATTTTGTTTTTTACATATTTTAAGATTTTTTTAAAAATGTATACAGGGTGATTCGAAAAATCTGGTCATTGATTAATCACGATTCTGCTTAAAGCGCGTGACGTAAAAAGCTGATTTTGGAAAACAGATTGACTTTAGGGTGTAGAGGTTAGACAAGAAGGGATTTTCGAAACTCGAATTCTGAAGGGGTGAAACTATCCCTCAAATATTAAAATATTTTTTATTTAAAACCGGTGAGTTTTTCGGAAAAACTCTTAAACACGTATATTTTATTTTGTTGTTTTACATATTTTAAGATTTTTTTATAAATTTATACAGGGTGTTTCATAAAATATGACCATCGAGTAATCACGATTCTGCTTAAACTGCTTGACGTTTACAGCTGATTTTTGGCAAACGGATTGACTCAATTGACTGTGGGTTGTAGAGGTTCGATAAGGAGGGGTTTATCGAATCTCAAATTCCAAGAGGGTGAAAACGCCCCTCAAATATTACAATATTTGTTATTTAAAAAACGGTTATTCTTTCGGGAAAATGCTTGGGCAAGCATAATTTATTTGGTTTTTTTACATATTTTGAAATATTTTAAAAAACCATACAGGGTGTTCCAAAAAGTTGGGTAATTTCTTAACCACAATTCTGCTTAAACTGCTTGACGTAAAAACCTTATTTTTGGCAAACGGATTTTTCGAAAGTCAAATTCCAACGAGATGAAACTACCCCTCAAATATTACCAAGTTATATAATAATATCGCCATATTGTTTTTTCTCTAGCTGACACAAATGTGAGAAAATTTTAACCAGTTTGTATGTTAATGGAAATTCTTGCTTTGCTTTATCATCACCATTACAAATGATTAATTCGACACGGTAATGATTAATTCGGTACACGCTAGTTTGTACCTATATAAACACTTTTACTAATAGTAGTTGAAAGAACTTCAACTTTTTATTATTAAATTAAATTATTAATATTAAAATGAATTAATTAAAAATTATTTTCTCATTTACATATTCTATTCAACGAGGAAGTTTCCATTCGGATTTACCACAAAATTTACACTAAAAGTTCTTTGAAAATGAAACCGAAAACTTCGAAGATGGAAGTCCGAAATTAGCTGGAAAACTTGCAGAAATTATGAGATAGAACTCTGCACCTTCTTAGTTAGTTGTAAAAATAATTAACAGTGACTTTAATTATGGTGGTTCAACATCCAATTTGTTATAGATGATGGAGTTATCTATATCTATTACAAAAAAATTGGTCAATTGCGAGACGGACTCGCACACGTGGTTCCGTACCATTCATTATCTATACAACATTAGATATTATGTTATTATAAACTTTTTTTCCGATTTAGCTGAAATTTTCAATGCGCGTATAAGTAATTTAAAAAAAAAATGGAGAAACACATTACTAAAAATTGTATTAATCAATAATAAATATGTAAAAATATGTCAAAATTAAAAAAAAACGATTAAAAAAAAGTCGCCTTGACTAGGATTCGAACCTGCCTTACTACGGCTCCAACGTCATAGCAGCGTAAAGTCCTAAAGCTTTAACCACGCGGCCACCGAGGACTGGAAAGATTCTATGTAAAATTCTTACTTAAAAGATAATGTTTAGTGAAAGTACTTTTTTATTTATAAACATTTATTTAATTCTGTTTTTAGTATTTGTTCACTGAGAGATGGTGTAGGACTGTCGGGCTGAGTATCAACTCAGACAAAACCGCGATAGTGCCATTGACCAGAAGGCGAAGTCTGAAAAACTTGAAAAGAATCCAACTAGATGGAAAGGAAATACTGCCAACACAGGAAGTTAAATACCTGGGAATAACCCTCGACAGTAAACTCCTGTGGAACAGGCATATTAAGAACACTACCAGCAAAGCCATAAAGGCTCTCATGATATGCAGAAGACTGGCCGGAAATAGATGGGGCTGCTCCCCTAACATTTTGCGCTGGATGTATACCATGATAGTAAGACCCATGATTACTTATGGAGCAGTTGCCTGGTACACA